AGGATTAAGGTTAAGACAAAAGATTTGATACAGTACTTTCAGTTTATACATTCAGTGTGTCCATGGTTCCTCCTAGAGGGCACCATTGGTTCAAACAGGTAGAAAAGAGTAGGACATGCTCTTAAAGACTATTATAGGTTTGCCCAAAAAAGATTCTGGAAACCGCCTTTTCATATTGGATTTTAATCTCTGAGCTGCAGGCACAACGTCGCACAGATCCCCAGGTCGCAGAGACACTTGCCCAGGGTGAGGCTGCGTTAGCTGCCTCCCACAATTGTACTCTGCCACCACCAGACTTATCTAAAGCACCCAGCCCTCCAGGCTCTGTGGTCCTTGATATCCCAGAGCTTTTTCATGATAGCGACTTGCTGCCACCTCCTTTTTCTGGAGGCCACGAGGGTACTCAAAATGGCATGCACTGCCCCAGTACTCAAAATGGCGTGCACCACCCTGATACTCAAAATGGTGCCACCACACTCCCTCCTCTGTACCGCCCTATCTACCCTTTAAATGGGAGCTTAGTCGCTAGAATGACCAAGAGATGGTTTGGACTTGGGTAGGATCAGGAAGTCCATGGTTTGCGCCCACACCCTGTTGGTTCTTTCTGGGACTCCAATGTCCCAGACAAAGTCAATTCTACCTTTTTCCTGCAGCAACAGGGGGCAGATCATATTGTAATTCCCTGGGAGAATATTTTTGTGCTCACTGGGGCTTTGAAACAGTTGCAACAAGATGGCAACACGCCTTCCCTGATAAACACCTTAAACTGGCATTGGGGTCACTGGGGTGCAGCCTAGATGACTACCCACCGGCCAATCAAAGACCCTGTCAGGTTCTAAATATCACTGTTGCCACTCCTGAAGACCCTGGCTGGCTGACAGGACGCACCTGGGGACTTCGAGTCTATGAATCAGGCAAAGACAAGGGAAATCTTATTCTCATAAAAATGGTTCCAGTACAGATTTCATCCATGCCCATAGGCCCAAATCCTTCTCTAAAGCCAAAATATAATCCAAATCCAAAATAAAATCAGTCTAATACAGATCCTGTTACTGCTGTTCAAACAACCACAGTAAGTCACCCAACCATAAGCGTTTCTCAAGCCCCCTCACACCAAGCAGATCACATACCTGTCCCTCAATACTCACATTATAACCTATTCAGTTTGATTAAAGGGGCATACATGGCTTTAAATCATACCCAACCTGATCTCACCCAATCCTGTTGGTTATGCTTTGCTGCTCATCCCCCATATTATGAAGGAAAGGCCCTCAATTTAACCCTTAACAGTTCTTCTAGCTCATCTGCCTGTGACTGGGGCAATCACCACAAGCTGACTCTCCCTGACATCTCAGGTAGAGGGACTTGTCTTGGGGACTCCAGCCATCCACCAGCACTGGCAGCATGACTCTGTGCCCAGCTTCATTCAGAGTTCAAGCCAAATAATTACCTCATTCCACCCCCAGGAACGTCTTGGGCCTGCAATTTTGGCCTCTCTCCCTGTATAGCAACTACTGTTTTTAACAAGTCTACAGATTTTTGTGTTCTTGTACAGGTTCTTCTTCACATAACCTGCCACCCAGGAGCCTACTACCTCCAGGCATCGCAGACCGGCTATATATATAAGAGAGAACCCACGACACTCACCTTAGCTGTATTAATAGGGTTAGGAGTCACAACAGGAATAGGAACAGGGACTACAGCTCTAGTGTTGGGAAATCAGCATCTAGCTCAATTACAGGCAGCAGTAGATCAAGATTTAAAAGAAATAGAAATATCTGTGATGGCTCTACAGGTGTCTCTGACATCTCTATCTGGGGTAGTCCTAGAGAACAGAAGAGGGCTAGACCTCCTATTTATGAAGGAGGGTGGCTTATGTGCTGCCCACAAGGAACAGTGTTGTTTTTATGCTGACCACTCAGGAATCGTCAGAGAGTCCATGAATAAACTAAGAGAGTGCCTCAAAGAGAGAGAAAAGGAGCGCCTCAGAGAAACCACCTTCTCTTCCATGTGGGGGGGGGGCTTTTCCCTTACATTGCCCCCGTCTTGAGACCCCTAGCTTCCTTGCTGTTACTGCTTACTGCAGGACCTTGTATTTTTCAGAGGATCATGATGCTCATTAATAACGTTAATAACAGGATTGACACATTTATGGCAAAGCCCATTCAGGTACATTACCACTGGTTGGAAATGGCAGAACAACAAACTTATCGGGAAAGAACACCCACCAACGGCCCACATGATACTGTGGCCCAAATGCCCTAGGGAGTGGACAGGCAGCCAGAGATGGGCAACTAGGACACATATGTTGTGCCATCAGCCACCTAAGACAGGCCCAGGACCAACAGCTGTCCTGTAGGCCCAGGATGGGTAAGGCTTGATTGGGTTCATATGAGGAGTCCTTGACCCAAGACAGGCGCTGTCCTCTCAGGGCCTGCCATATTCCTAAAAAATATATAATAATAAGGGAGGAGATGTAGGGACTGGCTCAGAATGGCTGCTGCTGCCCTGCCCCTCCCACCTGAGGGCATTTTGTGTGTCAGCCTACATTTCCCATGATCCTCCCCTTGCCTACAGTGTGCATGCCGTGAGCAACTTCCCGCCTCAGCCTACATCTCCCATAATCCTTTCCTGCTTACACCATATATCCAGATGTGACGATTACCTAACAGATAACACTCCATGCCCTCTTCCTGCCCCATTGGCCAGCCTCCACCCTATATAAGTTGTAGCCATTTTAAGAATAAAAGAGACTTGAAAGGAATCCCGCCTTGTCTCGGTCTCTCTTTTCTCTTGCCCAGCCCTCCATCTCCATCCCCTCTCCAGGCCAGGCCCATGGACCGATCCGCGGGGCGGATCATGTACACAGATACTGTATGTTTGGGTTTTCAGTTTCTTTGTGAGTAACTTTAATTTTGTCTTTCAAAAATGTTCTCTTTATCTGCCGTTGGCTTTATTTGTATAACTGTGTTTTCCTATTGGAGTGTCATTTTCCATTTCTCCAATAAATAATGATGTGAAGAGCATTTTTATATATTCCTTAGCCATTTGCATGTATATCTTTTTATGTGCTCATTGATTCTTTTGCATTGTTTTCCTGCTTTCCACTGTGAATTTAGGGGTGCTCCTAAATTCGATACAGATATCATGGAATTAATTATATTCTGCCCTGCACTTGTTCCATTCTATTGTTCTTATAAACACTGTCATCACTAGTATTATATCTTTTTCATTTGTTGAATTGGCATGGTAGTGCATGTCTGTAACCCCATCACTAGTGAGACAAAGGCAGGAGGATCATTGTGAGTTCAAGAACAGCATGGGCTACAAAATAATCTCAAGGGAAGCCTGAATTGCATAGTCAAATCCTGTCTCAAAAGACAAAAAAAGGAAAGGAAAGAGCTAGATAACACCCTTGTCATATTTAAGATTTAGGGATGTCTTTATCAACGACTTCAAAATCTTGTCCTTCAAATGTTATCAACAAGCAAAATAGGACCCCATTTCCAAGTGTCAACAATTGGGTCATAGCCAAATTTAGGAACTTAATTTACTAATGTAGGCACCTGCCTTAAGTCAAATTGGAGCTAATCCTAGCAAGGCAGACTGTAGTTTAGAAGCTTAATTTATTTTAGAGACAAAACCCTGTATGTGGCCTCCCTCTATTGTTCTATGCAGCTGGCTCCAGTCAACCTTCTAATAAATGATAAAGGAAACCCGCTGGGAGAAAGTGACAGATTTAGAGCAGGGATCTCCAAAGCCTCAGCCAAGAGTATCCTGGGTGCTCCTGAGACCATGCATCCAGAGGGAAGAGGGCCCACAGCCCAAGAACCTGCAGTCAGCTAGCATTAGAGTCAACACAGAGTGGAAGCTGCTTCCTACCCAGGACTCTGAGGGGAAGTCCCAGGGCTCCCTGGCTGGGACATGTGTAAGGTATAACCTACTCCACTCTATGTCTGTTGCTGTATGTAATCAACAGCACCACTTTCACCCTCAGATGTCTCCCACTTTGAATGATAAATTAGAGGCTCACTCTCAAATATGACAATATACATCCCCGTATTTTCTTTCTGACCTGGTGCCAATACTTTGAAAAAGCTGGTGATTTTATAACATGAAGGAAAATTTTGACTGGGTGACCCTGTCACATGAAACATACATGATCCTGTAATTTTTCCCGAGTCCCACAGTGTTCCTACATAGAAATAGACATACGTTTAATAGCTTGTGTAGACAGTCTTTATATACATAGTAAGTGAATGAAACAGTGAAACAGGTAAAAAATGGATGTATTCAATCAGTCTAGCAAGAATTTCTTAGTCTTTCGACTCAGTACTTGTTATCCACAAGCTTTATTATTGGGAAATCCAGAACTTTCCCCATATTTCATACCTCAGCTCTTGCCAAATGCGAAAGTATGGTAGCCTAAGAAATCGGGTTGTTTCCACACATCACCTAGGGTGTGGACAGTTCATTCCCCCTGTGCTTTTGATGTTCACCCTCCAGCCACCCTGCATCTGCTGTGGGAGCCCACACTCACACCGGCAAACAGAATCCCTAAACAAGCTTCCTTCCCCATCCTATGTGCAGAGTCATCCAGGGATTTTGCTTCTGCTGCGTATTGTTTCATTTTTTTTTTCTTTCCAAACCCTCAGATGGTGTTCATATTTGATATCTTCTGGAAGAATGGAGACCTTTATAAGCCTCATGAAGCACTTCCTCTATAGAAAGCCTGTTTCAATCAAAGATCTAAAGCATGTTTTGATAGTAGAAAAAACACAATCAGACACACAGAAAGAATGTAGAGTTCATTATGTAGCATACCAGGACCCTCCACTGACCATATTTTGCCCATGCTTGGGTCCAGAACCACATTCTTTGAGCATTTCCCAAATACCATTGCTTGAGTTATCCTCATTTCTATTGACTATCCTGTTGAATAGGGTTTATTTTCTGACCTGACTGGAAGCAACCACTGCACCAGCCTCACATCCCTACCTCTATAGGAAGGAAGGGCTGCTCAGAACCTGGGGAGACTGGGAGGTACTGAGAATTTGTAGGGACAGGATATGTCTATGTGAGGCTGTGGCTTCACTGCTGGCACAGAGATACACGGCCGAGTCTTCCAGCTGCACGGGCTGGATCTTCATAATGAATTCTGATCTGACTTTCTCAGCTGAGAATCTATCCATGAAAAAGTCTGCCATTTCTGTGGGATTCTTGTCAATAAGATAAACCATAAACTCCATTCCTTTTTCTGCAGTCTGTCGGTACCAAGAGATGTACTGGTGACCAGAAATGGGGTCACAACTTAGAGTCACAGCCAGTCCCACTTCAGTAATCTTGTGGCTGGGAGTTTGCTTGACCCCTGGTGCCATGTGTCCTATGGAGACACACAAAAAAAAGAGAATGTGGTGAAGCATTGGAAGCACGTGTAGGGAAGGCAGAATGGGAAAATGTAAGCACTCCCAGTTCTCACCTGCTCCCAGGAGACCAAAGATCACCCAGTAGGGGAGGATACTGTCCATGGTAGGACTCATAGGTCTGAGGTGTGTCCCAGTTGGGACTCTGATTGTTAGCAGTGCAAAGGAAGAGATCTGGTGATGTCACAGCCTGTGCTGCACCCACAGACTCAAGGGTGTACCATAAAAACAGGAGCTTAAATGCAATAATGGACATGAGAAGCCCCACGGCTGTTTCCAAAGTGTCCTGTAGTGTGTGCCTTATATTAAATTGGGCCCCTGATGGGGCCTCCATCATACTACAGTCTTCAGAACAGCAAGCCAGTGTATTAGACCTGAATGGAAGACCTCATTTCTGGTCACCAGTATATCTACTGGTATTGACAGACTGCAGAGAAACGAATGTAGTTTAGGTTTATCTCACTGGCAAGAGTACCATGGAAAAACACACTCTCTTCTCTGACAGCCAGTCCACGTCTCCTTGCAGTAGCTGTAGGTGCCAGACCATTTAGAATTTGAATATTACAGAGAAAAATGTGAGTAAATGAACCCAAAAACGTCACTGAGGTCCAGGCTCAAAATCTCCAGGGACAGTTGAGAGCTAAAAGGGGACCATGGACAGAGTGAGCTCCCCACTGAATGGAAGGGAGCAAAAAGAGCCACATTCTTAGCATTCCCAAGTTCAGAATGCACATTTGTACAGAACTGGCAACTTGATAAGGCTCATGCTCAGAGACTACTTTTAGATGAATAGAGAGAGAGACAGAGGGAGAGAGAGAGAGAGACAGACAGAGATAGAGCGAGAAACAGAGAGAGAGATACAGAAAGAGAGAGAGAAGAGAGAGAGAGATTAGTTAACAGCAAATCCACCATAATGGAAAAAATGAGTTGACCTTGGGTCAGGACATACACCCTTACCACACACTTTGCTTTCATAGTAACAGTACTTCTGTTCTAACCAGACAATGATTTTCCACTTTCCCCTAATACTTAGCTGCTTTATCATCTACTGCCTATGCAGGAGCAGAGAATCTTCATTCTTGAGCACAATGAGCCCCCCAGGACCCTCACCTTCCCCAGACAATGTTTCTGTGTTTTGCTCCATGTGCCCACCCAGTAGATTCAAGCCACCTTTCTGATCCAAGCAGACAGCCTGTCATTATTGTAGACAGGGGCTCTCCTGGCTAGTTCCTACACCATTACACACACACACACACACACACACACACACACACACACACACACAGAGTTCCCTGAAAAACTGTGGAACCACAGCGCTCCCAAGTGGCCAATGACCCCAGTCTCCTTGAATCTCACCTTTGAGGGCCATGTGGTCATGACTGACTGAACCTAGAAGGGAATCCTGGAACCCTCATCCCCTCACACACATCCATTCTTATCCATTGACCAACTGGCCAAGTTAGAATTGATTTTTCTTTTTTTTTTATTTAAGGAGAAAAAGGAAAAAAAAAACAGAAAAAGGTTACAAGTAATACAAAATTTAAAAAATAAACAGTAAGAAATCACTAGTTAATAGATTACATGTTCTCATCTTAGAAATAGTTGTTCAAGTTACAAAATTGAAGCATATAAAGTGGACTTTCAAACAATGAGAGTGCAAACAGTTTTGTTCAATGATCTAAAAAACATTCAGTAATATGGTTATGTATCTTATACACTTAAACGTATATGCAGTTATAACCTTTAGAGCACTTTCTTTTCTTTTGTACAATGACAATTACACATTTTGGGCTTTATTACTCCCACAGTTTTTATTACTTTTTTTGAAGAGAGAAAAAACAAATGCGACATATCAGAACAGAGTCAGTCAAATCAAAAGGGTGGACATAATAGATAATGTAAAAACAAAATATAATGTGATCAACAATGGTTACCATGCTGCCTCTTGCTATTTTAAGAAGAATTGGCAGTTATAAGAAAATTGAACTCAACAGTAAAGAATAAAACCAAAGCATTGGAGACATTACAGGATTTTAAAAGAAAATAATAGTCAACCGGAATGGGCGTCATAATGATTTTTATTGTCTTCACAGTTATGCCTATATTCTCGAACTTGGTACTATCAAGCAAAGCAAAATACAGGAAAATCAGTCAAAACAAGATGGTGAGGGCAATACAAGATTTCAAATCAGTTAATAGGAAATCAAAGTAGGTTACTATAATGTATCCTGCTATTTTGTATTTATTTTCCCATAATTAAAAAAGAAAAAAGAAAAAATAAATAATTTTTTAAAAGGGGGATTGAGATAAAATAGGGCATAACAACAGAACAGCGCAGGTCAAATCATAACCACTTAAGCAAAATAGTGTTTCACCACAAGATATCCTGACATAAAAATAGTTACCATACTGTCTCTTTCCTTGAAATCTTTGAGTATAACTTCTTATATTGTAGCACCAAACATATCAAGACACTATAAAACCATTCAAGAGAATGACACTATTACAGAATGACAGAAAATGAACAGAAAATTGACAGAAAATGAACAATGGTTTCTATATAAACTCCTTGTCTATAAAAGTTTTTGCTTATATTATCATATATAAAAAATCCTATAAGATACAACCTTTTAAGACCAATGGAGACAGAGAAATACACATCTGATGGGACTTCAAAACAAGATGATACTAAATCAGCACTAGCTATTATGATGTCTTGTTTTCTCCAAAATTGCTGTTCATAACATGCAACCTTCTCTGCCTCATTTCTGTTGAGCTCTTCTTCTGTCATTTGTTGTCAGTTTGTCTTCTTCATTTCGTTTTCTGCTCCATTCATTGTGGCCTCTCTGCCACTATTTCTGGAATCTTGGTATTTTCCTTTTTTAGACAGTATTCTCTGTAGAGTTGTATTACTGGCTGCAAATTCCCCTAGTCCCTCTTTATCCTGGAAGCACCTTGTTTTTCCATCAATTTCTAGGGACAGTTGTGCAGGATGTATCAATCTTGGCTGGAGGTTATTATCTTTCAAAGCTTGGATTATTTCCCCCCATGCTCTTCGTGATTTAATGGTTTGTGCCGAGAAGTCTGCTGTAATTCTGATGGGTGTTCCCTTGTAAGTGATCTGTTTCTTCTCTCTGACGGCTTTTAATATTCTGTTCTTATATTGGATTTCTGGAATTTTGATTATTATATGCCTGAGTGTAGCTCTGTTTGGGTTGTAGGTGGCTGGAGTCCTGTATAGCTCATATATCTGAATATCTTTACCATTTGCCAAATTAGGGAAATTCTCTTGGATTAGTTCTGTGAATAGCTTTTGTAGTCCATTTGTTTGTGCCCCCACTTCTTCTCTTTTGTTCTTAATTCTTCAGTTATGGATCCTCTTATCATCTTCTAGCTTTTGTATTGTTGCTGTTTGGTTTTTTTGTTATTTTTAAGAAGTTTTTCATTTCATGCTCCCATATTACAAATCTGCCCTCCAGTTCAGATAATCTGCCCTTAGTTTCTTTCAAGCTGTTATGACAGTCTTTGATAGAGTTTTTAGTTTCCTGGTAATCTCTTTGAATCTGCTTTACGTATTCTATGTTTTCTGTATCTTCTCCATCAAACAATTCTCCCTTTTTTTCTGTTCTTCCATTCCACCATCTGTTTTTTCTTGGGCAGTGCTTAGCATTTCTCTAACTATTCTGCTTATGTCTTGCTTCAGGTCATTGATAACTTCATTCCTGAACTCATCTATGAGCCTCTGGAGATAGCGCTTTATGTCTATTGGTGCCATGTCTACTATTGCGTGTTTCTCACGATTGGGGGCTGAGGACCCTTTCTTTGTTGCTCCCTCTTCCCATATCCTTTGTTCCTTATATTTAAGCGTGTATAGGAGGCCCAGCTTCCTTCCCTGTCAGCCATAGTCTGTTTGAATTGCACTGGCTAGGTGTTCCAGCCCACTGCAGTGGCACCAGGGAGTCACAGACCTAGGCAGCCTCTGCTCGACCATCCCCTCCAAGTCAACCTACTGAAAGCTTCAACTGCTAGGGTGCACCTTCAGGTGCTGGACCTGAGTTGGACTAGTCTATTGGGTCTCAGCCAGCAGTGTCTCACAGGCCAGGCACTCACCACCAATCCCGTTTGAGAGGGCGATATGTGACTGAAGTCACTGCAACTTCTTGTTCTGGGAAGTCTTCCCAGTCTGAGTATGTCCTTCGCTGAAGCCTCCTTCTCTATGGAAGGGTCCCGATTCACTCACTCACCACGGGTCGATGCAGGGCACCCGGCCAGTCACGCTCCCAACTCCTTTCAATGCTTCCCACTCTCCAAGCTTTCACGCCTCTCTCCCCGCTGTGCCAACTGGGATGCAACAGCGGCTGCAGGTAATTCAAATTGTTGTTTCCAGTGGCATGGGTCTGGCTTCCATGCTGAGACCTTATCTTTGCCTGTTGTATCACCAGGATTGTGTTTCCAGATGGTTTCTCCTAATTTAGTTCATTCCTGTGTCAGCAAAGAATATCCCCCCTTGCCTGGGATGTCCTGCCTGGCACCATTCCTAGATTTCAAGTGTGGTTTCTCAGAGAGCCTCGGAGGCTGCTGCTATCTATCTGCCATGTTCTTCAAGACCTAGAATTGATTTTTCAAATCCATGTTTGGAATTTGAAAGTTTTAGAGAAAAAATATGTATTTGTACAAAATCACACTGCATATTAAAAGAAAACAAATTACATACGAATGAATTCAGTACACTAAATTCATGGTAGGCCAGAATAACAGGGATCACAAAAATAAACCATGGGGCATCTGCAAGATGGTCCATCCTGTAAACACTGCATTCCAGAGCTCCTCTCCATTAGACCCGCATCTTTTCTTATTTTGCATTCAATTATTATAAAATTTTAGATGGTATGCTTTATAAAGATTGTTTCTACATTTGACATGTTTATTTCCAGATATTTTTAGCTAAGAAGAAACAATCTGGTATGGGTTAGGTCTAAATGTCCCCCAAAATCTCATGTGTTTAGAGGTGGGGAATGAGTAAAAGAAGCTGGTACATTCAGGCTGAAAAGTATATTCTTGTCTCTGGTTCTCCCTTCTTTCTCTGCTTCCTGGATTCCCCCAGTGCAAGCAGTTTTCCCCTTTTTACTCTTTGTACCATGAGTTTCATGCCTTGGAACCGGCCATATTTGGACTGA